ACTCACTCACTCACTCACTCACTCACAAACTTTGATTGATTGCATCAGTCGACCTAATCAAAGTCACATGATTCAATCAGAGAAAGCAATTACTTAATCCTAAACTCAGTTGGCCGAGTACGACTGCACTGTATTTAGTCCCAGGACGTATGTCTTCACTGGCAATCCGGATAATGTTTAATCGTACGAGAGTTTCTACTTGTTTTTTTTTTTTTTTTTTTTTTTTTTTACCAGCTTTGCACATCTTAAGACTTAATTCTTCCCATTGTTCCTGGCTGAAATTCTCCAGATGGAGCATAGTGGTTGACAAGGACCTGTGAATGTCACAGTTTTTAGTCCTGCTATAGTTTTGTCATTGGATTATGTCTGGACTTGGACCCAAGTTCGTCTTCTGATTCATGCTTCCTTAGTTCCGTAGCATTTGTTAAACTACAGATGAATCTGGAAGGCTTTCCTTCTGCAGCAGATTTCTTCCTGCCACTCTTCCCTTAAGGCCAGGTTTGTGGTGCCGTGATGAATGGCTGTCCTGCCAACAGTCTCCACCTAGGATGAGGATCTCTGTAGCTCCTCCAGAGTACCACGGGCATCTTTGCTGCTTCCCTATATATTGTTCTCCTTTTCAAGAACCTAACAGCTAGATGAGCAGCGCACTTTACCTTTGTAAACTGTGAGTTAAGCCAAGCTCTGTGGTATCGTGTTAAACAATGGTTGGACACAACTGCATCCTTCAGTGAGTATAATTACAGTATATTTGCAAGATTATTTACTTACTCAAGCCCTTTGCTCTGGATAAATCGATTATATTTCTAAAGCATGCTGATAAATCTTTAGCCGTCGTTTAGCTCAGTTTTGCGGTTTCCCCGCCATCCTTAGCATTAGGTGATTTAAAAATGAACTTTAATCTCACCTGCGGATAAAGCCTCCACTGATGGCCATCTGTTCACGTTCGTCGACCACACGGGCAGGCTGGCTGGCCACAACCCCATCCTGGTTGTTCCCCCAAGCCTTGCTGGCTCCACTCTTCATTCTAAATGCCGGCAGTGATGGGGAGGTGCGAGGAAATGTAGTTACTCAGCGGTTTGAGAAAAACAGTCATGGACCTCAACCATCTGGCTTCCTATTACTTAAAATCTATGGAAAAAAGCCTTAGGTTTGAGGTTCTGCAGCATCACATTGATATTAATCTCTATGTAGGATGGTTGGTTGGCACAAAGGTGTTAACTGGTTACATGCACATAAATATATGGAGGGGACTAGACTAAGTCAAGCAAAGCAAGGCAGGCATGGACTGGGTTTAGTGGGTACAAGCTCGTTCTGTTATAACAAACTATCACAGTTATATTTTCTTGTTATAAAACATACAATACAGACTAAAGCAATCACAGTTATAAAAAGTGTGTGTTTTACTACTATCCACATTGTTCTAATCATTTTTTCCACAATCACAATCCCCCCCCCTCCCAAACAGAGAAGACAATAAGCTTCTGCAGACACACAACAGGGACAAACAGGACAGTGACATTTTTAAGACGGACGACGATCAGTGCTGAGAACAAACTGTTAAAAAACGACATGAGGATACACAGCAAAATAAATAAAACTGGCAGGAGGTACGTAGAGAATAACGGTCTTATTTACTTTTACTTTGTAAAAAAAAAAAAAAAGAACATTCCCTCTTCCTCCCTAAACATCATCCTTGGTTTTAATATTTTATATGCAATCTCTTCCATTCTAGGTTCAGAATTATGGGAAATCTAAGATTCTTGGCAGGAGTCAGACGATATAATAGGGATTTAGATCAGTTGAGAGTCCTCAGATGTGGCATATATCAGCTTGTGCAGAAAATATCCTGACAAATACAGCTGTGCTAACATGCTGTGAAACCAAACGGCTCAGGTTTGCAAATGTCACCTCACCGATTATGCTCAGACCTTCTGATTCATCAGGATCAGGTTTAGCTCTACATCTGACAGACAGAAAAGTGATAAGATATAATAATAATTATTATTGCATTCAATGCACTGTTTATCTGAGAGCCTATTGTTATAATAGTCACATATCTTCATCTTTCTCTCTGATCATTTTAGCATCATTCTGTCACTTGTTTTTACATCTAATGGCTTTCGATGAAGAGCTTTGTTGATTCTGTGTGGATCGCTTCTCTATGCTGATGGCTCAGCCTCCTACATGGTTATTATTAATAGACATAGACTGAGGCAAGGCTTGGCTTAGCTCCCTGTCCCTGCTAACACACCACAATGTGCTAAGCAGATCAGACAACTCCAATTCCTTTCTTCTTGTTCATTTTTCAACTTTTTTTTGTTTTACCATTTATATTCTCTTTGCTCTACCTTGAAAGCTGTCATGTGCCTTCTCCTCTCATACCATCTTTCTTCTCAGTTTACTGCTCTGTTGCTGGATTTGAAGCACTTAGGTGGGTGACAAGATCTCTACTCATTAAAAAACACAAGTATGTTTTTCAAATCAATTCAAAATGTTTAAATCTGTATGTTTGAGAATTTATATTGAGATATAAAATAAAGTAGTCAATCAGCTGCTTTGGGTAAGCTGATTGCAGTATTTTTTATTCACTTAGGTGATAAAAACATATTAAAAACATCAATCGTTCTCTTTCTTGTCACAATTAGAAACCTTACCAAGGCTTATTGTTGAGGTTGGTTTGTTAGAACATGCTTAAGTTACTCTTCTTCCATCTAAGATTATAGATTGATTGTAACTCAAGTGCTGAACTGAAGTTTCATGTTTACACTGGGAAAAAAGAAAAAAAAAGAAAGCAGAATATCTTTTTGTTGTTGTGAGGCAGAATCTTCCTGTATATATAATGTAATCAAGAAGCTTTCTTATTTTTCTGAGAATGTGTCTGCTACATTATATCGTTAAAAGAACGGAAATAATTAATCAAAAATAGTTCGTTAAAGATTTCTATAAAAAGCAATTCCTGTAAATATATAGCTTGGCGAGCTATATTAATGCTTTACGCAGACCATAATTCAGCCTCGTAAACCCTGGTTCGCTCTGGCTAGATCTGCCTGGAAAAAAAAGGGCCACCCCATGTGTGTGCTCAGCTGAACCAACAGCCTTTACCCCTCCTGACGTGGTGATTTTTAACTATTTGACTCAAATCTGCATTGAATTAGATGCATATTTGCATTGTGCTTTTTATTAATTATCACAGACTTTTTTCTTCCAGGTATTTTTTCCCCCATTCCTCCCTATATTTCTGCATCTTTTTTTTTTTTTTTTTTTTTTTTGAGGAGGAGCATCATTTTGTGAAGGTGCACCACCCCCAAAAGCAGCATCAGCATTTCAATTACCCCGTTTGTCCCCCATACTGCTCTGTTGTCTCCCACTATCTTCTCCATAAGTAACACTTGGCTCCACCAATGGAATGAGGGTATTCTGGATTGTAACGTATATGTTGTCAGCTCACTGGTCAAAACGCAGGACAGGGCCCAGGAACAAGTTTACCGTAAGTTTTGTATCTAGCGTGCCCTTGTTCTTCATTTTCTGTTAGCTTCTTAATGATAATTTTTTTACTCTCACAGTAGTAGAGACAAAGTATGTTCCTTTTCCACTAAATAAAAGGACAGGTACTTCTATATCTAAATACGGAATGATTCCGTGTTTCAAGGGCTGGTTGGCAACCCTATGCCCACATCAATCACAGCACAGAAGGCGTCACTTTAAGATGTGTGAATCTCAGAGCCAGATTTACCCATAATGAATAGAATAGGAAATCCCTTTATTGTCATAGAATGGGGAAACTGCTGTTACAGCAGTAAGAAGATTATAGAAAAAATGGTCACACAAATATGGACCTTAGAAAAATGTATAAGAATAACATAATAGTGAAAAGTTAAAAAATAGACCTATTAATTACTGTGCTGTAAAGTGTTTTAATAATATAAATACTGTGCAATAGTATTAAGAACGTAACAGAGAGCACAGCTTTTATCCTCAGATCTTTTTATGCAAGACCTGCAGAAAAGTTCACTGGAGAATTTCTTCAACATGTTTCACTGACTGCAAAATTACAAATTGCTTGGAGATTTGGCATCACACCTGTTTCTGATTGGTTTTACCCTGATGAGGCTGGCCCTGTTGTCACTACCCAGATCCGTCCCAGAAACACTATCATTCTGCATATGCGCTATCAGCTCATCTGCGCATGCTCATCCAGATATAAATCCTGGTCCTTTTCGATTTTATTTTGTTAAAAATACCTAAATGACATTTTCCGTCCCCAAAGATAGTGAAGATACTAAAATATAATGTGTTAAAGGTTAACTATGTATTTCCTGAGAAATTAAATGCCTTAAAATCTTGTTTTATCACTGTTTTATGAATGCCTGATCTGCACCAGAAATGGGATCCTACGCTACTTCAGGTGGCTTAGCTTTAAATCTAGTCTTTTAGAGTTTTATGTTTTTGTTGCGTTTTAATCTTATGCTATAGGTGCGTAATCTAAAGAAGGAAGCAACTAAAATGCAGATAAACATGTTTAATCATATTTTGCCAGACTGCCCTGAGCATGTCCCATGATGACGTCAAAGAAGCAGTTTAACGGAGAAAATGTAAAAAGCATAAAAATCGTCTCACAGAAGTCATGAAATTTTTTTTAAAGATGTGTATTAGCATTCTTTGGTGAGTTAAGAATAGAAATAAGTAGTTTTAGTACCATAATTACATTATATATAGACACCGGGATGTATATCTGTTTGCGCATGTGCAGAACAGATCGTGCGTCCTGGATCCCGTCAGCTAACTCTAAAATAGAGAATGTAAAATATCTGACAATCTCTAGTTTATCTGTCCAGTTTTAAATACAAATTTCAGACAGGATAAAATAGGCTGAACTGAGGAGAAATTCTGCATGAGTGGATGAATACTTTTAGAACTCTATCATACGATTAAAATTGCAAATGTAAATTTAAAATCTAACAAAGAATGGATCTGATCCATCATCTGCAATGTTTCCAGCCCCTTGCGTTTATCCCTGTCACTATTAATGTTTTTCTATAAACAAACTGCACTTCAACTGAACATCTCTTTGCACTCTTGATGTTCGCTGTTTTTTTTTACATTATTAAGACGTAAAGAAGGGGCCAATTTGGAGAAACTAAGGAGTTGGAAATACAGATAATTGCTATTAAATGTAATGAGTAAATGTAATTCATTAGAAAAATAAATACTAAAGTTATACTCAAGTTAGAAGCTCACATCTTTAGTTCAAAATCTAAACATTTTCATTTAATTAAAAATAAATTGAAGTTGAATTTTTTACAATCTGAACAATTTCTTTAAAAACTAGCTTTGCTCTTGAAAAATAGATTTTTCAACAATAAGAATACCACAAAAAAGTTAATTTTCTCTTTCTTTTTTTGTTTTGTCACATGTAAGCACAACAAAAATTAAAAGCGTAGAAAAATATATACCCATAAATTAATATCCTCCCCCGCTCTTTCTTTACTGTCACTAACCAGACATTCTGTCTCGCCTTGTTAGCTGAATGGACTGCTACACCCCTAATGCCCAACTTTACTTAGGTTTTCTGTTATTGAAGTAGAAAATAAACATGCTAGATGCTTTGAGTCCTAAGAAACTAAACTTGTTCTCTATTAATGTTCTTGTTCTCTTTGATTAAGCCATCCACTGCACACACAGACAGCTAGAATGTGAAGGCATTTCGGAGCTGCAGAAATCCAACCAAATGCTTTGTTTTCCTCATTCTAAAAACGTTCCTTTTGTGCAGTCAGATTGAGTCAACGTCCCAGCAGACTGCCATGCCACTATCTGATAAGACTGACCTACATGTGAGCCAGCCGCCTGAGGGAGAAGAAGCTTTGCAAACAGAAATGTTTTGAAGCACCCAGTGCAGGATAGGGGCTAATTCAGCACAGGGCTCAGCAGGAGAGGTGGCACTGCAGAGAAACTGCAGCAGATCCGGCGGAGAAACAAGACACGCAGCTGAGGACTTGATCACTACATGAAGCCATGTAAAGACGAGGGAACCAGAGACATGATGCAGCTATTTACACGTTAACCCCGACGCTGCTGGATTAGAGTCACGCTTGCAGACATAAATTCAAATATTTTGAGGGGGAGGTTTTGAATATTTCCTATTGCTGTCTTTGTCTTGTACAGCTTTTTTCAATCCCTTTTTAATCAAGATAAATTATTTTTTTTCTGATCCCATAAAATATAGAGCGTAGTGAAGAAATCTTTACTAAAAACCCAAAATGTTACATAGGAGGATAGTTTCTCATTTACCAATTCATCGTACCAAAATACAACACAGACATGACTGTTTTAGTTTTTGAGGAATATAGCCATTTATGACTCTCTGCCATCTTGTCCCCTTTTCACTGGAAAGTCTTAGATCAAGCTTCTAACCCTAAAAATTGGATAAAACCTGAAGAAGACGTCTTCCCTTTTTGTTTATCAGCCATCATAAGAACCTTTGGGATTATTATGAAGAATTGCTGTTATGTGTTGCATTTCAAACATGCAAGAGCATTCCCAGGGTCATGCTCGCCAGTCATTCCATGTCACCAGTGGTCGGGGAGGAGCAGGGTGTTCAGGGGGAGGGAGGGCGTTCTCGTTCCCTGTAAAAAGGTGAGGGTCTACTGGATGTTAGAGCGGTGTGGTGGAAGAGATCATGCAGATGAGGAGAAGTGTCAAACAGTCCTTGACCAGGCTGCCCAAATGCATTTTGGGACTAAGATTGAAAACTATTCATGCCCTAATCGATATAGAGTGAACATCTGAGTTCCAATATGCTTTGGGAGCCTCAGCCCTGCTCTTTTTTGTTAAAATCTCATTAGTTTTAGTTGGAAAGGCCAACAGAGACAGTGATATCTTTTAAAAGTCCACTCTTAGCGCCACTTTTTTTAAATACCAGGAAAATATATTCTTGCTCGGAAGCAATCAGCACATGATTGATTGATGTAGTTATCAAAGTGTTGTGCACCAGCACACTATGTCCAGCCTTTATACATTTTCACCAGTACAAATGATTGAAAACGGTCTTCCATAGTGGGGACACTGAAATGTAAAAGTCTCTTGAACTGTAAGAAGAAGTGTGAGTTCAGAGAATAGGGCACTGGGAGAAGGGCACTTAGTAGAAAGGAGTTAATTGAGGCACTTGATGAACTGTGGCCTTGGTTGAGTGGGAGGAAGCTTGAAAACAAGTTCTAGTGTTGCTTTAATGGTTATTCATGCAGCCTTTTTATATAGGTATGACTAATGGCGATAAATTGCAGTAATCATAAATAGGAAATTGTGAAAATTCCCAAAACTAATTACATAGAAGTGCCTAATCTGAATAGAAATGGGGAATATTGTGAGATGTAAAAATATTGGGATGGTTGCATGTCTAGAGATTATTCCGGAGGTGAAGCCCTCAAAAGAACATAAGGCTACTGCATTTACCGGCAGTTATACTCTTTGCAGTAATGCATCAAGAACCTATGCAAATCTACATTAAAGTAAAAAAAAAAGTCTATTAAAGCAAATCAAAAATGATCTGTAGTTGAACTCATTTAAATATATTGTTATGGTGCCGAGGCATGGGCAATAATAACTTACTTTGTTATTAAACATTTTTTGTAGAACTTCCTTCAATAAAAGCAACCATAGAAAGAACTCCTCAGTCTGTAACTGCCTACATATTTAATTTCGCGACAACTTTGTAAAAATCTGCCACTAGCCATTACAAAGTAAGTCTGTTTAATACCATTTTTAAATATAACTAAGCTGTTATTGCTGTTCTGATTGAACCATATAACTCAGAGGGCTTTGAAAAAAATGGGAGTGATTTTGTGATAACTAAAGAAGTACTATTTATCTCTAATGAGATAATGTTTTTGAATTACAGTGGGCAGATATGTCTGCTAAGCTCTGTACCTAAGCAGATGACTAAACAACCTGTCACTATAAACTTGTTAATTCGGTGTAAATTTAAAAAATATTAATTGACAAAGTTTGTTATAGCTAAAATAATTAGCACTATAAAAATGAAACAAGGAGGTTTAGTAAAGTACTTATCTTAGATTTCTGATTAGATATGCTCTTGTATGTGTATAGCTACTAGTTTTTGATCTTTAGAATACTGCTCTCCCCTAAATACTCACTTTTAAGTTCACATTTCATTATTTTAACTCAAGTTTACTTGTAATGATTCTAATTTTATACTTTTTGTAATTCCCTTATGGTATTAATAATTCATTAATGTACTCTAATACAATATGATCTAATTTAATATTCCAAGTTTATCTTAGCATGAACAAGACATAAAACAATGCTATATTTCAATTAAACCACTGTCCTGTATGTAAATAAAACACTTATTTTAAGCCTTTAAGCTAATTAGGCCTTTGGAAGGTTACCTATAAAACTAATAGAAAAAAAACAACATCAATAATCTAATCTAATCTTAAATGTTATTTTAATATGGTGCCATTTGGAAATATTGTTTGCTTTTTTGTTTTAATTGAAAGCATTTATTTTAAACATCGAGTAATAGAGTGAAGATTGGATATGGTTGTATTCTTTGAACCAACAATGCAAAAAATATGTACCAATCTCTTTAATACCAGAAATGTTTATGCTGGTTTATAATCATAATTCCTAGATTATTGCCCATTCCTCGTGGCCTCTTCATTTCCTTCATTTCTTTCAAATATCGACACTGAGGGAAATTTGAGCAATTAATAGCAGCCAGGTTAGGATAGTATATCAAGTGAAGATTTTTGATTTGTTTTATTTGTAAGTGAATTTTAAAGATGAACTACTGTCTCAGACATGAGCTCTTGAAAAATATTCTTCAGTTTCACTTCAAGGGCGACGCACCTCTTTGTGAGGCTATTTTAAAGAATATCATCCACCCGTGTCCCATTGTATAGATGGTTATTATTGGAACTGGAGCAGAGCAGACTATTGGCTAATGGCCATTGTGATGTCACTTCTTCCTCTGTTGTTTTTTTATTTGTTATTTAGTGTCTTTTTTAATGGCAGGCAGGCAGGCAGGCAAGCAGCACCTACTTGTTACATGGACAGGAGCAAAGACCACAGAATTTCCCTAGATCGTTCAAATTCTTTTCTGCATCCTTCATGTCCTTATTGATTTGGTCCATTCCTTCCTCGATGCGCTCCAGTTGCTCTGATTAAACACAAGTCATTTATCCCCCACAGAACGAAGCACGAGGAGAAAGAGAGAAAGAGAGAGAGAAGAAGGCGAGAGAAAGAGAGAGGAGACAAAGGAGAGAAGACAACAACTTCAGACACTCACTATGACAAAAGAAAGAAAAACAAAACGAGAAAAAAAAAGAGGAAAAACTGGACGCCACCACATATGCAAAGAACCTTTTGGGCACATTGTCAGTACCTACTTGTTACATGGACATATGAAAAGCCCACAGCATTTCCCTAAATCTTTTAAATTTTTCTCGGCTTCCTTCATGTCTTGGTTGATATGGTTCATGCCCTCCTCAACACGATCGAGTTGCTCTGGTCAGGACAAAGGGATGACAGTAGTGGAATGAATTTCATTGACTGATTGACAGAAATATGAGATATGACGAACAGCAACTGAGGTGTTAATGTGAGCGTGTTTAAATTGGTGTGCAGACTAAAACAAATATTAATGAGTTTACGGGAGAAATTAAGACTTTCCAACGTCAAACAGAGCAAAGCCATGGCCACCTGAGGTGAAATATGGCCACCAGAAATACTATATAATCTAATTCTACTTGTAAACGTCTACCTGTAAATGTAAACGAGAAAATACTTTTATTTTTTTTTTAACTCATCAAGGTTTTAGTAAGCTTTATTACATCTAGCTTTACAAGCTAAGCTAAAAGTTTGGCTGCGAGGTTGAAGGTGTTCTTATTCGTCTAGTTTAAAACTAGTTTCCCTTATAAGAAACATTCCTTTCTTTTATTAATTGAGCTCTCACCTTATTCTGTATTCCAGTTGTTCAAATAAAGTCAGGATTTCTTATTTTTAAAGGCTAAATCATCAACTAAAACTAGCTCTGAAATCAGATCTTTGACTTTAAAAATCTGTTTTTTTCCCTTTAGAGTCTGCAAATAGTATTCAGTGTTAATTAGGTTATGATTTATAATAATTACCATGTTTGCAAAGAAAAGCAAGTAGCCAATCCTATTGTTTTTTTTCCTACAGATCAGTTTACGTCAAACAGATCTGATTCAGAGTGTCGTTGCCGAGTTGCATTTCCTCAACTTGACTGATTTCTGACTGCGATTGCATTCTGAGTTACTGATGTTGGAGGCGTTATCATGCTGATGTGGTGGATGGAGAGTTAGCAGCTATTTCTCCAAGTGAATTTGTTTTGGGACAGAGATAAAATGTCAGTAGAGCGTGACAGCAGGTGGCACAGTTAAATATGGAGTGGATTCAGGAATCAGTTCATTGACTGTAAAGATTTGTTCAACCCTTGGTTGGCATGCACTTATGAAAGTGGTAAAGACATCAAGCAAATATAAAAACTGATGCCATTTTCTTAGTTAGGTGGATTTAAGCTAACACCAAACCCCTTTGCCAAAATATGCTCATCTATCATATGAAAATCTAATTACAATATACCCCTCAGATTCCATATAGTCAGCCTCTATAGCTGCTTTTGTGATATTTTACAGGTGCAGAGATGCTGTGGGAGTCGTATGCTTTAGGCCCCGTCCACACAAAGTCAAAACGAAAACGAAACGCTGATATTTTCCAAAACGTTTGCCGTAAAGACGGAGACTTAAAATAAATGTGAGCGTCCACACGAATGCATGAAAACGCTGCAAAATGTATGCCAGGCCTGTAAGTGGCGCTGTGGTGCCAAAGCAAAAATAAGCGACGAAATGTTGGGCATGCGCACTAATATTTATACATGGTTGCCCTGCGGGTCCATTTTCGTGGTTCAGTCAAATTCAGGTGCTGAACTATGTCGTCGATATTGCTCTGTTCTTCCTGGAGATATTGCAGAAGAAGAAGATTCTGTTGTAAGCCCGACAGCAGGGTGAGTAGCATTAGCAGCAACGGCGCCATTGTTGTTGTGATACTGTGTCGCGCATGCGTGTTTAGAGGCGACGCTATGACGCATGCATGTAAAAAAAATATATGCGGTTAGAGCGTAAAGATGGAAACGCGAAAACGGCGTTTCGAAATCTTCCCACTCTGAAGGCTGAATAAAAAAAAGATCGTTTACAGACCCCCGAAACGCCGGCTTCGTGTGGATGAGAGGCTGGTTTGGTGAAAAATTTGTGCGTTTAGGCCAGGGTTCGTCTTCGTGTGAACGGGGCCTTAGAGTAAATGCATGGTTTGTCACAGCAAGTCTAGAGCTTATTCCCATTAGAGGCATTTGTGTTGACAGAATTAAGGATGCCCTCATACACAATTAATGATTGGTACAAATGACTTGAATTTATTTTAACTACTGAATAGTTTTTTTACACTTTCAAGTTGCATCCAGGGATTGTACAAATCAGGAAGTGGGCTGAAAGGCGAGAGGTTGAATAGTTTGTCATTACCAGCTAAATCGATCGTTTCTGTTATCCAGTTCTTTTCTCTCTACCCTTATGGTACACCAACATACTGTAGCAGAACTGTTGTCAGAGCTGTTCAAAACCTTGCATCTTTATCTACCAATCAGAGCAAAGTTAAAGACAGCTTGGGCTCATTACTCGTTGTTAAGGATGATTTGAATGTGTGATTTCTAACCAGACCTGTAGTTGCATATGATTTCCGGCAGGTTTTTATTGTGTAAAATGATTCAAGGCAAACAGGGTGGAGAGCTGTTACTAAACCACTAACTGTAAAAAGAACAATATGATCCTGCTGGTTGTTTTGCCCCTTCACCATTTTGTACAGATGCATTTTCGTTTGGTCTCTACCTGCCTAGTTATAAATTACCCAGGAGATTTTGCAACTTATACATTGATAAAGTATCAGTTAATGTTTCAGGGACATTTTATAACTGCTTTAAAGAAATGTGCAATTTTCAGTCCAAGGACTCTGGTTTAATTGTCCCTCTTCTCTTCATTAAGCTCAACTTTGACACTTTCTCCCGCCTTCCCTGGGATTTTTTTCCTAATGAGCACATAACAGCAAATGGGTCAAGCTCTTTCTCCTGCTGTTATAGTGCTGAAACGCTGAGAAAGAGTGGTAGATCCATATCAGCTGACTTTTCTAAAGGTCAGCGACTTCAGAGTGTGGTGTGGTGTTAACAGATGGTCAGTGTGAGCTACTTATCTGAGGAAATAAGGCAAAAAGCCATAGTGACCCATTGCTATATGTCTGATGCCCATTATTTACTTTTTCATTACAATAAATAAACATCGAAATGTTTTCACTTAAAGGCCTATTAAAGGTATAGAGGAGGATCTTTTATATCCAGGTGGATCATCTAAATAAGTGGTCCTCCTAATTGTCAATTATTCCGGTGATATGTTTACATAAGGCCGTCCTAGGTGCTCGTCCCATCAGCTATGCTTTACTGTGAATGGGCACTTTCACCTATATAGATCTGTATATCTGTTGTGAGCTAAGGTTTCAGACAGTAATAGAAGCTCACCTTTCTCACCGCGGTTCTTTGAAAATCGCAGAGGATCGTTGTAGAAAAAGTGTCTATGAAGTGTATGAGAAGAAAGGCCTCAGAAGAGGCAGCTATATCCCATAATACTTTGCGTGGAAAGCTCTCCTACCAAAGCATTATGGGATTTGCTGTCACAGCAGCCCGCTGTCGCCATAGGCTATCACTACCTCACAGCGGGGACTAATAACAAAGATGGCGCAGGTATGGAGGAGTTACGTGACCATCGGAACAAAAAGCTGTAATCACCTGTTTGAAAGATCAGTCAACTGAGTTCGCTGTAAAGTCCACTATATAGTCTCCGCTCTATATAGTGATTGAGGGATTTAGGGGTTAGAGCCAATGTTCAGGCACAGTAAGCTTGTGCCTGAACATTGGCTTGAGCTATGAGAACAGCAACTTTTGGAAAAATGGGCACGTGGAAAAATGGGCTCGTGCACGCTAGATAGACGTTCCCTCTCGGAAGCGGGTACAGGGTTGTGCATGTGCATTTTTTTGTGGAGAGGGCGGGTCTTTTAAAATAAAATCATGAAAATCCTCCATAATAGCTTTAGTGAACCCCCCTACATTGACGGCACTAAATACCAATATGCTACGATTTTTTCCAAATCAACCCATGGAGGCTCATATTTACACTTTACGAGTAATGATAATATTCAGACAAGACTAAACAACTAAATTAAAGTATTAATGAAATGTTATAATTTTAGGATAATTTATCCCCAGATTTTATGAAAACACTGGTAGGTGGATGAGTATCAAGGGATTTTTTTACAGCAACAAACTGAAAGTGAAAAAGAACAACAGGCCAAACATCTCTGTAAAACTCAGGTACAACTTGGTGAAGGGGAAAACTGACCCAGAGACACTATTTAATCCAACAACAATGTTTAGCTGTGGGAGGTTTAGGTACTGCAGTGACGTGCTGTAAATATTCCTCATGAGACCGGTTAATGGTTTTGGCACTTTTCAGAATTCTCTTTTTCTGTCTTAGCTGAAATAAAAGAAGATTAAGAAACAAGGATGAAGTAAAGAAAAACAGTCAGGCAAACCATGGAGAAAATTGTGAACCAAAGTAGAAAAAAAGTTAAAAGAAGCTGAAAGAAAATCTCCAGAAAGCAATATTCCAATCTTCATCGATCAAGTAAGCATGCAGTGAGAAGAACTAAAGAAATCTGAAAGTCAAAATAAAAGCAAATGAAACTGAAAGAAAAATGAATTAGTTTTGAATGCATTTGATTAAAAACAAGCACTTGAATTTGAAACATCTAAGGCATCCACAGTTTTTGTTTATGATAAAACATTTAAAGTACAGAATTAAGATGTGATTAGAATTATAGATGTACACAAGCAGGGCAACTTTGTTCATTAAAAAAAAGATTAGGGTTTTTACAGTAAAAACGTTAAATTGAGCATCACTCATTCTCTCTACTTACCCCCCTGCTCGTCCAGCATAACCAAAGTCCTGATTCCAGCATCTTTGCTCTATTTCCCAGTGAAGGCAAGAGGCGGATGGAAGGTAAGGAAGGCAGACAAAGCAGAGGTCAACAAGGAGAATGAGAACCTGAAAACTATAGACCTGAAAATCACAAGTTTTTATAAATACTTTTCTCTCTTCTATAGGAAAGGCTACAAAATAAACTGCAAGTTACAGTTTCAAAGGATGATGGTGATGACTTTAAAGCTTCAGACCCTTTCAGCCTCCTCAGTAAACTCACATTTAGACCTACACAAGAAAAGTAGATATATAACTTGAATATGTTCTTCAGTAAGTTCAGGAACAACCTCAGCACTCTTCTCTCAGTCTGTGGTGTTTTTCCATATTTTCTGAAAACATTTTCATGTAAAAGTTTTTTTTTTTTAAACTCCATTTCATAATCAATAGAAACAATTTAGTAGCATCTTAAGATCAAACCTTTTTGTTATTGATGCTTTGTCGATTTATGTGAGGTGATGAGCTCAAAGTCGTTGTGATAGGAAGCCCTCTTTCCCATCACCCTAATCTTTAACCCCATCTCCGGATTCAGCTAATGACTGCCTGCTTCACTAAAAAATGCTGATATTCCTACCTGTCAGAGGAACGACTCAGCTAGTGTTAGAAAAAAATATGTAAATTGAAGTTTTTCAGGCATCTGAATAAATGTTGGTTGAACAACGGACAATAAGGGAGAGATGGGAGATTATTCTCTAACAGTGTTAAATACTGTAGAACTGTAGGTATCCTCTTGTAAAAACATCTAATACACTACGAAGAGCAGATTATATCCAGTCTACCATAAATAGACTAAGAGAAAAGAAACTCTGAATTATTCCCAGTAGCTCAGATTATTTGTTGCATACCTCACCAAGACCTTCCTTCATGGATTAATCCTTTTAGGAAAGGCAGTTGTTGGAACTAAAAATCTTAATTTTGAAATAATAAAGAAACCAGTTTAAGTTTTTATTATCCAGACTTGTTCCTTAAAACACACATTGGATAGTGTATTTTAAAGCATAGGAAAAAAAAACCTTACACTTATGTACAAAGTCGGACGTATTCATTAGATAGCTTTGTTGGATTTCCTTGTTTTTTTGTATTGTGTCTTTATTTTCTTGCATCTCCTGGCTAAAGCTATCCTCTTTGAAGAAATATGTGAGCTTCACTGAAGGCATCCATACCTTAAACCTAACAAGTAATTTAAGTTCACTTAAGTCTTTTGCCTTGAGGATAGAAATCAGATTATTAGATTAACAACCTAATTGATAAGCATGCCAGGTAATGATTGAAAGGTGCAAAAATTAGATGGCCTTAATGGGTTTACCTTAAAAACTAAATAATACTCTTAAGAGTTGAACCATGAAATCATTGAGAACAAGGGTAAGGCTACACTTCTTTTAAAGAACAAACATTATACCACAGCAGTAATATTTCCCCTGCAGACTGAAAAACATCCAGTTATTAGCTAAATTCTAAGCATGATCTATGAGATGATCCATACCTCCTGGCAAAGGTTTACTCTTTTGATTCATCTACCGGTTTTCTTTTTGTATTCAGACTTTATTCTGAAGCATTTATGATTGTCTGAAATGTCAAAGAGCTGAGCTCAATCAACTGAAAGAAATACTTCTAACAGATAGGCTTATCTGCTACAAAAACTTACGGTGTAGAAAACATTAAGGTCCATTCACATCTTATACTTTAATCGCTCTCTCTTCTCTGCAGCTTAGAAATGTGGCAATCATCTGTGATCTAATAAATCAGCAGAGGTGTTTCCACATATCTAATCATTAGAGAAGCAATTCAAGTTGATCACTTTTTGCTATTGGTTAGAGGTAACTTCTACATTTTTGCACAATTCTTGCTCAGCTGTGATCAAGGAGTAGGAAATATACACTATACTTTCTTTTTTTCTTTTTTTCTTTCTTTCTTCTGCTAACTTTGGTTATGCCCAAAAGTGTAACTTTGTGTCTATCACTGGGAGGGTTAAGGTCTGCACAGTTGTCACAGTCAGATTAAGTGAGGCAGGCAGTGATTAAATGGGTAAGCAATAGAAAATGAAATGCATCTTTTCAACAGACATGCACCCCCAAATGTCTTCTTTTATTAGATTTTGGGTTATTTACAGAACAACCAACAGGAAAAAAAAATGTCTGCCTTCTTTTTGGCTTTTCATGGTTTCAATGTAAAGCCATCTCATCTGGCCTTGTGTCAAAAGTACGGCAAAACATTGATGGTTGGTAAACAGGTAGGGTTGCACCATGTTTTGCCATAGGCATGTAATAATTTAAAACCACTGGGAGATTATAGTAACTGAAATTGGTGCAAATTAAGCTTCTTGTTATAACTGTTAAATAAGATGCATTCCTATCAATCACCATCTGCAATAGCTGTAAATGTGTAAATGCTCAATGAAGTCACTGGGCACAGACTCAGGTTTTCAGAATACTTTTGCCTGAATAATAATAATAATAAAAAAACACACATAACTGTTAGCATAGAATCTTTTTACGTAATACAGTAAAGTGAATGATTAGTTTGCAAATCTCTACCCTTATTTTCAACAACATCTTTGAGGCCCGAATTTCTTATTTCTTATTTATGTTTTGAATAGATTTTTAAACCAAAAAGGAGAAGTTAACTTGTAAGCTGCTGAGAGAAACTTCTTAAGCTGACTGTAGAACATCTGACAGCTGAAGCCAAGAAGTTGGCCATAGGGGTTTATTTCTTGGATTAAAACGAGGTTTATGGGTTTGGAAACGATCTATTATTTTAGAAAATAAGAAATACATGTGCAGCACATGTTCATTAGCTAACATTAGAAAATGGACCATTCTCTTAATGGCAGACACTGTGCTGTTCCAAATACTGCGAGGGACTCATACATATTATGTAAGACTAATGTAACAAAATTCTGACACAAAGTTGTGTCAACCAGTTTAAAGAAGGACTTAATTGATGTCTGACTGATTTATTTCTTGCTCCACAGGCATCAATAGAAATAACTGACCTGAAATAAACAGAAAAAATCTGCCCCACATCTTTTATAAGATATCACATGTTAAATAATAAAACAACAACAAAACAAAATAATGACCCCAGCCTCCAGAAGAAATCTCAGGTCATGGAAGTGCTAAACTTGAAAAGTGATCTAGAAATTAGTTAAAATATCCATAATTAAGTGTATTCACCCTTAATTTTAGTAGGCAAATTAGATAGTTTGCCAACTGAATGAGTATTTTTACTCTTAAAATAAGATAATTAGATAATATGCACTTAAAATAAGACAAAACAATTGTGTTTTCTTATTTTAAGTGGAAGTTATCTTGTTCCACTGATAAAATGTCTCTTTTACCTCCTCAATCCAAGAACAAATGCAATTATATTAAAAAGAAATGAATTATCTAGATTTCGATTTTTTCCAGTGTAAACTGGGTGTCAGTGATCCACCACAATCATTTCTTTCACATTTCTTAACTCTTCTTTAAAGTCTTTAAACTTTAAACAGATGTATATTTTTAGTCATGGAAGGAAACATGAAGAAAACATTTTTTCTCTTTTAACAACGCAAATAAGATAATCAGGATATAATGGCAATAAAAACAGCTTCAGGCGGTGCTAGATTTAATTATTCTTCATCTAATTTCATTATTTAGTGAAGGCTGTCTTTGAGAGTGGTGTTTTTTTTTGGATGTCAAGTGTAATTAACTCCAATTCTTTTTCTCTAGCTCCTCCAAGCCTGCAGCACAGTTTGTTATTGTGTTTTAATGATATATCTCCATTTATGATCTTTCTAACCTTGAGAGCTGCACTGAGTAACTCTTCCACCTCTACCCCAGCTGCCTACAGCCTTTACGCCCTTTTTCTCAGTTTGCTTGTTGCAGTATTCCCATCAGTGGACCATGGTATCATCTTCCTACCAGTACTAGTGCTTTCAATAGCTCTCTTGAATCTGTGTGTGTGGGTGTGTGTGTGTTCATCTTATCTCTCTCTGACGTCTGCTCATTTCCTGTAATGTGTTATTCACGCCATCATTCAGTTGAGTCACGGTTGACTCAGAGACGGCAGTTAAAGATACACACACCTCAGCATAATAAAAGGAAAAAAATACTGAATTTGTTTCATTAATTAGTGAGATGATCATTATCTTCTTGACATTTAAACATTGATCTACCTTTTTGTTTTTACGTTGATAGGATACAAACTTCAAGCCAGGCTTTTATTTAGAAATTTGTACCACTCTCCTGTGCTGTTATTCTCAGACATGTTGGGAATTGAAGCAAATTATCCATAAAAGTGCATTTATTTCTTATTTTCACAGCTAAAATATTTACATACTTTGTATTTTCCCAATAAAACCACAAACCTCAGTATCTGTGGTTCTGATTTGCGACAGCCCTGATCAAGGTGACTCCTCCAGCCACCCATGTCGCCATCACCGCTATCTATCAAAGTATGTCTCTTATAATCCTTTCACTTTGCAGAACAGCTCAGTCTGAGTCAGTTTGGATGAAAACCTTCGATTGACAACAATAATTCGGTCTTTCTTCTCAAATTTACACCTGGACTTTGACTAGGCCATTTTGAGACATGAATACACTTTGTTAACCTTGCACTGCAAGCTGGATTGCTGCAAGATCTGAGTTTTCAGTCTCACAACAAGTCCATCTTGAAAGACTCCCACTAATACGTCCATCTCTGAACCACCAGTGAGCTGGACCAACGACATGCCAGCAGGGTTTTTTGGGGTGGGACATACAGTCTAGGAATGAGGACAGTTAGAAGGGCCTTGTCAGGGCATTACAAATACGACTACGCTGGAGGACTCACCTGTTGATAACGCAATTGACTCAGTTTTAGCTAAAATAGCGAAGCAAAGAGAAGCACTTTATGCATTTGTAGATAGGAAAGATGAATGTGCTTTTCTCCCGACAGGATTTGGAAAAAGGTTGATACATTAGCTTGCGAAACGTCAAGATTTGCTGCTACGATTGGCTGAAAGTGTATTATGGAAGGTGGGTACTAGCTGGCACATCACCCAGTCAGCCTGAAGTATTGTACTATACGTCCCTCTTTGTCACAGAGCTGTCACAGATTGGCATCAAACTCAACTCAGTTCTACACATTTCAATCTAGCTTACTGCCAAGTTAACACTTTGTAGCTCTGATTGGATGTTTCCTCTTGTTTCACTGGTTGAAGGTAAACCTCCATATTCCTCTCCAGGAATTAAAGTATGATCTGCTCCAATATTCCTTCCTTTAACACCAAGAAGAACCTCTTTGCTTTAAAAAAAAAAAGTTTCCCTACAGAGTACGCATTTGTCACTATATTCCTCCTTGGGTGTGTAGAAAGGAAGTTGTGGAGTACAGTAAAAATGGCTTTGGGATAGTATTGGTTAATAAAAGAGCCCTCTTTAAAGTTTCCCTCACTGTCTCTTTTACCTTTTTTTTCTCTAGTGATCTCAAACAAACCTCAAAGAATCGAGATTAGTTCAGACACGTTTATATTCAGGAATCTCAGAATAATGGGGTTAAACATAAACTACAACCTTACTTTAATTTCTATTTTTGATCTGTTGAATACAATGCTGTTGTATATATATATATATATATATATTAAAGCTTGTGACAACAAGACAAGACAAAAAAGGGGTTTCTGATTATAAATATTCAAATAAGGAGATCTTCAGGAACAAGAGGCATGAATCAAAGTTAATAATTTTTATCACGTTTCCTCTGAAAAAATAGATTTGGCTGCATAGGACTATCAACGTTTTACACTAAACCAGAATGCATTTTATTGTATTTTACCCCATTTTATTATTATTCACATTCTGTCATCATTCTTCATGGATGGGGGATAGTTATTCAAAGTGGGGGTTTTCTTACCTCCTCCACCAGTTGGAGCATACGGCGAGTGCTCTCCAGTGACTGTAAGGAAATGAAACATCAGATTATTATCCATCTCAAGTCACTTAGCTGCTTAAAACTACATACAATCAATGCATCGGCAACACGTAATATACAGTAGAATCGGGTTAAGCAATGCAATATGAGCCATTATTAAAAACGCAGCTTTTATTTTTTTCCCTCACTTTTGATGTGAAGTGGGGGGTCAGGATCTAAAAGCCTCTTAATGTTAAAGACAGGAAAAGTGTTACTGTGTTGCCGCCATTTTGTGCATGCTCTGTGCTGATGCACGTGTGTGTGTTTAATATTCTGCTCAGCTGTGCCACAGTGAGTCATATGTGGAGCTGGAGGGCTCTGGGCCGATCTGCTCTGGGTCCTGACAGAGACTCTCTTTCTCTGTCTGACACAGAGAACAGACAGGAGCTCCCGTACATCAATATTCTCTAACTATCGAGCACTTAGATGTCTGCAGAATTTTTTTGAGACTGCACCACAGATAAAAAAATACTTTTATCCTTATGTAACGCATAAAAAAAGAAACTATTATATTATATGGACTTGTGTTATATGTAGCCTTTATTTGAACCCAGAATTTAAATTCTTTGAAAATTATAATATCATATAAGATAAATAAGGAAAGAATCATTCCGACAGAAATGTCAGAGTGATTAAAAGTATTTTCATTTATCTTCAATCTATACTTGGTTGACAACCTTTTGCATGAATTACTGCATCAGTGCAGCCAAGCATGAAAGCAATAATCCGGTTGTTCTGCTCAGATAGTAACCTTCAGCTCCTCTGCATTGTTGGCTCTGGTGTCTCTTATGGCCAGTGCTCTAAAATGTCCTGGGAGATGGCTGCATTGATTTTGGACTTTCTAAATCCCACTGGTCCAATGCCAGCAGATGAGACAGCTCCCCAAACCATCACTGGGTTTAAAAAACTTTAAGTGGCATGGATTATGTGGTTCTCCATGCTTCCTGCAGACTACATGACCTTTTACTTATACATAAAATGCAAATTTTAATCGCATCCCAAAAGTGGACAATAATACATTGGCAAAAGTCCAATTCTCCTTCTCCACTGCTCAGATAAAATGTTAATGATAATGATAAGATGTTTGACATTTTTGGGGGTTTTATAATAGTTTGATATGAGGAATATGTCATTTGTAACAGGATTGATCTGTGCAAAGTGGCTCCTGAAGCATTGATTCCCATCTTACTCCTCTTTCTGTAAATCTGTTTCAAAGCAGGCGTTATCCAATTAAGTTCTTTTTTGAAAACACATTTTTTCTTACCACTCAACTTTCCATCATATACTTGAAAACAACGCTGAAAAGCAGGAATCCTTCCCGTCTGTTGGATGGCTGGCTAGTCAGCAGCCTTTTATATTTCATAAAATAGAATACATGGAATGCAAAGGTATTTTTTTTTTTACTACTTTTTTCTAAACTATTAACATTATAAATAAATTAAAAACTGTAATATTTCCTTGCACTTTGATAATTCTATATTAATTTATCTGTTTGAATTAAGTGGCAAAAGTAATAATCACATTTTTTATGATACACTATTTTTATGCATAAATATAAGCCGTCACTGCTCTGCTTATTCAGGCTCTCAAATCCCATCTTTATGGGACTGTACTCATGGTAGCACAGTTTGAACAGCTGTAACTGGGCGAGTGTGTTCTTCTCACCTCATCAGCCAGCTGGTCGGCGCGTTGCTGCATATCTGACAACTCATTGCGCATGTCCGCGTCATCTGCCATGGCTGCTGGATGTGGGGGTGGAGAGGGTCTCCAAAAGGGAAGAGAAGATCCTAGTGGGAATTAGGGGTGGGCTGGAAGAGAGAAACATTTCAAGTTTTTAGCTGAATGCTGTGGCCTTTGTGACCTTTCTCTAAGACAAAAAAGTTGCAAACTGAAAGATAAAAGGAACTGGAATATCCCCAAGTACCTGTGTAATGTGCAGCTTAACCTGATGAGTAAATAAAACAGGATCAGGCGGCTGATTATAAGGTAGGATTAAGTAGGATTTTTATAGGATTAGGTTAAAAAGAGACAGAGGTGTTTACAAGTCATCACTCTTTAAGCACAGGTCAGAATCACATGACATCTATTGTCCCTTTGACCCTGCAACACTGTTGTCTATCATCCCTACCGCAAAATATATTTCAACGCATTGCAAACAGCAATGCATTGCATACAGCAACGCGTTGCATGCATGTCATGTTTATTCTATTATTAACAGAAATATGCACAAACAAGCACAGCAGCACGGGCTGCAAACTAATGGATATACCTGAATAAATCTAACAGGAAGTGCTTTTAATTTGAAGAATCTTGCTTCATTAATCACTATATTAAACCAACACTGAGTAACTTTTCAACCTTCAGAAAATATTTTCATAACTTTTGTGATTATAAATCAACTAGATTACACCCCTTTCATTACCTGAGGGGGTCTGCATCGCTTTCAGCAGCGCTGACACTTAAAGAGGGTGGCAGTAACAAAACAACTGCAAATACGTCACTTCCCCTTTTCCTCCGTCCTTATAAAGACAGAAGTCTATGTGACTACAGCTGAATTCCAAAGCGCCCCCTAAGCACTAACCCTTAACTATCAAGTGTCACTCCCAATGAAGTCACATTCGCAGCTGTGGAAGAGGGTGGGGTATAATCGAGAATGGGATAGCCTCTTCCCTATAATGTAAAAGGAAGCAGTCGTTGCTATGCTCCCTTTTTGAAAACAAATGTATACAGTCAAATAAAACTGTTTCAAGGAGGACCTTCCCTTTTGGAATCAATGACGTCCCTTTTCTTTTTCCTACCCTGTGATCAGTGTGACGAAGATGCGGCAAACCAGCAGAACTTATGTTTAAATGCACGTTTCCTCCGCCACTTGGTTGCCTTTACACTCACTGCCAAATTCCAGCGAGTCTGCACTGATGCTGTCTCGCTATTTAAGGACTGTTTAGTCCATTCGCCCTACCTGCTGCTACTACTACTACTTTAATATGGACGACACTTCGCGAAACTCCGCAAATGAAGGTTTAGTGCAGGGGTCTTCAATGTTTTCCAGGCCAAGGACCCCCAAACTGATGGCGAGATGGAGCGGGGACCCCCTAATTATATATATTGTATGAAATCGTTATATCATACTGGTCCTATAGTCACTCTATTACAGATGGAGTAATGTAACTAAAGTAATTTCACCCTGGGATTATTAAAGTATTTTTGATTCCTGGTTGATGGGACAGGTGTTGTGAATGAAACGGTGCCCAGCTTGAAAGAGCTCCTGTGTGTCGCTGAATGTGTGCATTGATAACTGAAAGACATCTTCTGCCTCCATTTATCTGTTTACTAAAATGTGTTGAATTCATGATAAAGTGTATTTAAAGATATTT